ACCTTACTCCTCCCTATCTTCCAGGTCAGCAAACACACATGGTCCGGGCCCACAATAGTTCAACAAATTTTATTTCGAAACATGGTCGCACCACATTACCATAGATAGACAGATATGTTGTTTTATAGACAGATAAACAGAAAAAAAGATAGATAGACAGATAGAGAGACAAATAGACAGATAGATAGAGATAAACAAATAAGGAGATAGACAGATAGACAGATAGATAGATAGACAGAGAGATAAATAGATCGTTTCACACACTTTACACTACCTTTTCCTCGTCATGTACGTATCCTCTCTTCCTCCTTGTTGTATAAATACGACTCCACTTTAGTCTCCAAAACTTCCAACCAAATCACATCTAACGAGAAAGGTAATACTGATTAAGGCAGGTACCAGTGGAGACTGGAGAAGATGGGCAAGAAGAAGCTTGTTCCATTGTCATTGTTCCTGGCAATCCTCCTCATCACCTGCTGTAAGTCAAAATTTCTCCTAGATGCATAAATTTTTCTAAAAACATTTGTGCATTTGGTTCAAGTTTGGAGTGGATCTAATGTATAATTTTGTGTGAAATTAGGTGAGATGGTGGAGGAGGTTGGGGCGAAGCTGGTGTGCAAGATCTACTGGCCCCTGTGCATCGAGAAGTGCTACAAGTCCGGCAACTGCATGCGCTGCTGCAAGAACTGGGGCTTCGTCCACGGCCGCTGCAACCCCTTACGCGGCATGGGCTGCTACTGCTGCGCCGACGACTCTGACCCCGGTGATGCCGCCCTCCGCCGTCGCTACCAGTACCACCAGCAGCAGAAGATGGTCGCACCGCCGCCTGAATCCTGACCACCACCTTCTTGCATGAGATAGCTCTCCTTTCAGTGCTTCACAGTCAGTAGTACATATCATCTAAGCTGTGGAAGAGTCAATTCAGTCTAGCAAACAAGCAATGCATGCCTGACAGAATGACTGGATTCTGTTGGCTAATAAGTATGTTGCGTCCCAAGTCTCAACTCCTGCCCTTTTTAAACCTCAAACCGTAACTTTGCTTTGCGTCTCAGCACTGAACAAGATAGACTCGAACTGGATCATACTCAAAATAATATTGTGCAAAAGTTTCTCAGAATAGGAAAGATGTACTGCATTATTTTACTTATTTTTGGCAACGTATATATTTTCTTTCTATCGAGGAACCGGTAAGAGCACTGCCTTTTCATTTCAGACGAAAAAGAGTATATGTACAGAGGTGTCAGGTTTTCCATGGGATCCTGACAAAACCTGCAGTAACAAGTAGCCCCAACAAGCCGATACCGATCGCCACTAGAACGCAACGTATATATTTGGCTGTCGCTACACAAGAAGAATTTGGAGTTGTTGGGTGTGTGATACTGAAATTTAAAAAAGGTTAATTTTGAAATAAAATATTTAAGAAAACATTAAATGTTTCTGAACTGAAAAAATGCTCGGATTTTTCTGAAAATGTTCACAATTGTGAACAAATTGTTCGTAAAATAAAAAAATGTCCATGATTTTGAAAAAAAGTCCGTTTATTAAAAGTTATTAATTAAATTGAATTTTTTTTGCTAATTCAAAAAAGGTTCATGCATTTTAAAAATAGTTCGTGAATTACAAAAGATTTTATTGATTCAGAAAATATTTGTTGATTCAGAAAATTTTCATGCATTTCAATAAATGTTCGTGAATTAAAACAAATCCACCAATTTTGAGAAAAATGTCCCTCTATTCTATAATTGTTCGCTGATTCCAATGAAAATGCTTAAAAACCATTTGTAATATAAAAAAATGTTCACTATTTTTAACAAATGTTTGTAAATAGTAAACAATGTTCACGATATTTAAAAATGTTCACGAATGATAGAAGGTATGTAGTTAAATAGTAATGCTTCTGAGTCTTTGTGACTATATAACCACGTGAATTTTTAAGAATTAACTACCGCGGTGGATCTTAATATTATGTATGTTTTTGAGTGAACGTTTCTTGAAATTCAGAATAATTCTTTGAATTACCAAGTTTTTTGACAACGACAATATTTTTTCAAACATGTGAACATTGCTTCAATTTGTGAATAAATTTAAACAAAGAAACATTTTCTTGCATCTGTAAACAAATTTTCAAAATCATGCGATCATATGTGAACAAAATGTGGTCATTGCCATTGGAGATTATGAATTTTTTTTTCTCCCGTTGAAACGCACGGGCCCTTTTGCTAGTAATAACTAAATGATTTAACTTATAACAAACTTATGGACAAACGACGGACACTAAAGAATTAATACTAATGATGATAACATACTATATACTGAACCAGAGCTAGACTAAACCAGCAATGCCAACAATACTTAGAAATGGCATGTTTAAACATTCTTAGCAAAATAAAACAATGATATAGTGCTAACTCTAAGTAAAAACTGAATAGCTATGAATAAGACTTTCAAATAACAAATGAACTTCCAAAAATATATGAATGAGATAATCTTCCAGCAGCTATTGCTCGCTTGCTTGCTGTCTATCTATACTAGTCTTTTCTGCAACTTGCCAGCGTCAAGTGAGATACTACTTGCACTAAAGTAGTCAGCAACAATAAGTACAATTATATGCTTGTTAACAAAACTGAGTGTTACACTTAGGTACTACAGTACTCCCTCCGGTCCTTTTTACTCTGCATATTAGATTTGTGTCCAATCAAACTTTGCAAAATTTGACCAAATTTATATTAAAAAATATCAATATCTACAATACCAAATATATATACTATGAAACTACATTTTATAACAAATCTAGCAATATTGATTTGGCGTTGTGAATGTTGATACTTTTTTCTATAAGTTTGGTCAAAATAAAGATACGTTGACTTCAGATAAAAAACTTATATGCAGACTAAAAAGGACCGGAGGGGGTACTACTGTAAAGTCGAGCTGACCAAACAAAAAATAGGCTGGCCTAAAACACTGAATTATTTTGACTGCTCTGGAGTATTAAAATGAGGAGAACATGTACCGAAAATGAGAGCTGGAATCACTTAGGTATAGAACTTAAAAGCAAAGATGAAAAAAAAAAAGGTCCAGCAACATATTGGGGACAAACACAGCCTGAAGAATAAAAAGAAACTGAAAAAGTGTAATGATCGAAACAGAGGAGGTACACAAGCCTACTTCAAATTCAAGCCTGTAGAAGCACGTGTGCATAGACACAAAAAGTCGCTATCACCACTGCCTAATGAGAAAAAAGCATCAGGTCTAGAATTACAGACACTGAAGGCACAAATTCAGGGCCAGTTTGCTGAACTAATAGAGTGCATGAATCTCGACCTGCATGAAAATGTTAGCACCCAGCTCCTCTCCGTAGTCTGACCAACGTATCTACTTCCTCCCGCCGTTGCAGGGAAGCCCGCCTCCGCCTCCCGCCGACAAGTGAGCTGCTTGCGGGCGGCTTGCCACGCGCCATGGACCTCCTCCACCAGCCCCTGCCGCTAATCACCGGCGAGGAGCCTCCATTCCATGTCACCCCGCCGGCTGGATAAAAAATTCAAAAAACACGGGGCGCCCGCAAACCCGAAAGGAAAAGCGCAACAAAGCAAAAAGCCCTCGACACAGACCAACCCGGTGCGCTAACTGAAGGATACTTCCTCCGTCCGGAAATACTTGTCATCAAAATGAACAAAAAAAAATGTATTTAGAACTAAAAACACATCTAGATACATCCTCTTTTATCCATTTTGGTGACAAGTATTTTCGGACGGAGGGAGTACATGTTTACTGTGCAACTCTGCTCGGGACTCATGGCGACATGCTTTGCTAGATTGTCGTGTGTCCAAGTGTGTTTGGGCCCTGCTAGATGAGGCCCTAGTGGAACATATGATAGCATCTGAACATGAAGATGCAAGGCTATGGCTCGCGGTGTTGCAAGATTCAGTCAGCGGGCAAGAATTCAGAACGATCCTAGTGACACTTTTGGCCATTTGGTGGGCGAGGAGAAAAGCAAAACATGCGGAGATCTTTCAGAGTCCACTGTCGACTTTCAACTTCACTCAGAACTATCTCGCCGAATTGGACTTAGTGCCGGCAAATCAGAAGATGAAGCCTATCAGAGTATCTCGGACAGTTTACAAGAGATGGCTAACGGGACCTCTGGGAGTGGCAAAGTTTAACGTCCATGCTGCTGTCTCAAAAATTTCAAACCTGGGAGTGAGTATTGGTGTTTGAGGGGCTGGTCGGCCCTGAGAGCTTGGAAGTTCACGCATGCTGTGAGGCCTTTTCCTTGGCGGAGGATCTTCACTTAACTCGACCCGGAATTGCTACAGACTGTTTAGCTACTGTCCATCACCTGAAAATTAAGTTTATGGGAGTTTCGTCGACCATCATGGAGACATTAAGAATAGAATGCTGAAATTTGCAGAAGCAGAAGTAATCCATGAGACAAGAGAAGCTAACGATTTTGTTAGGGCCTCGGTCTCTTTGGCTGCTGGTCGTTATCTTTGGTTGTCCACCACGCCAGATGTTTTAACTGTATCAGATGTTATTGATTCCGGATTAATAAAGTGGTGGTCAGTGATTAGTGTTGATTTCAGATGGGGCCGACTCCTCATGCCTTCCCAGCCTTCGTACAAAGGCCTCACGTGCTGGCCTGCTGGGTCATTATGGAAATTCTGGTCGGCTGATGACTTGCCTTTGACTAGCTTCGCTCGCTGGATATTTCCCGGGTAGCTGTGTCAGCAGCAATCGTCCAAGTGAAACGCGTCCCCTTGAGTCCTTCACCTAGCTTCCGGGGAGTTTCTGCGAAGAACCACCCTCCCTCGCAACGACGACCGCAAAAGTGGTTTCAACGGCTTGGCCCCAGCATGGAGACTCTAAAAAAGGAGCGCAGTTTATATATATATAAATCAAAGGCAACCGCGGCATCATTTCGAGTCTCGCCCTCGGGTGCAGCTTCCATACGAAAATCGCCATTTTTTCGGTCGACCAAATTCCTAGCTAGGTAGGCGGCTGCCATGGCGATGTGGACTGTGCTCGGCGATGTGGCGACGGTGGCGCAGCTGGTCGGCGCAGACGTCGTCGGGCTCATCTCAAGGATCACGCAGGCCGCGGAGACGGCGCGGCAGAACAGGAGGGATTGCCGGCAGCTCGCGCGTCGGGTGCTCATAATCTCGCGGCTGCTGCCGCTCGTGGAGGACCCGGAGGCGGCGCGGCCGATGGCCGGGCTGGGTGACACGCTGAAGGAAGCCCACGAGCTCCTCATGTCCTGCCAGAGGAGGAGCGCGGCGTACCATTTTTTCATGGCCGGCAGGAAGGCCGTAAGATTCAGAGAGATGCAGAACAAGATCGACTTCTACCTCCTCCTCTTCCCCGTAACCAGCCACATAGGCATCGCACGCCGTCTCGACCGGATCTACAAGCTCCTTGACAGCGCCGGAGCTGGAGGTGAAGCGTCTACGCTTTCAGAGTCGTCCCAGCTGCACCTGCAGGTATGTACTGAATCTTGAATACGAATTAGTCGCGCGGCTCCCGGAGAAAATGATCAATTTTGCTAGAACTCATCTAGATGAGATATAATTTGGTCTCATTCACCTTTTATAGTCATTGGATGTGATGCTATAAAATGCGTGTGTGCTGATGTGGGTTGTATCCGTTCTTGTTTTCAAAATGAATGAGACCAAATTATATCTCATCTAGATGAGTTCTAGGTACTCCCGAAAATGATAGCCTATATTCCATGAATGCTGACGGCTCATTTCTGGCCTCTTTTTCAGGAGTCTACAGTGGTCGCTCAGGAAGTGGTACCGTACGAAACCCATGAATTCACGTTTGCAGAGATCGTGGCTGCCACCGATTACTTCGGCCCTCACACAGTGATCGAGTCGGCCCGGTCTGTGTACAAGGGCAGGCTTCGGGATGGGCGAGTGGTGGCCGTCAAGCGCATCACGGACCGGCAGTCGGACTCCACAAAAAGGAAGTTCCACAGCGAGCTCGACATCCTACCACAGCTTCGACACAAACACATCGTCCGCCTCCTCGGATCATGTGTGACTGCAACGAAGGACAAGCGCCTGCTAACCAACCCGCAACAGAAAAAAAAGCGTCTGCTATCCTGGTGGAGAAAGGAGCAGCAAGAGCCGGAGTGGCTGACCGTCTACGAGTACACGGAGAACGGCACGCTCTTCCACCATCTACACCCTGATCAGGGCTCCTCCGAGCTGTCGTCTGTGACGGTGCCATGGAAGACGCGCATCGATGTGCTCCTCGGCGTGTCGCGCGCCATCGAGCACATGCACTGTCATGCCAACCCGCCGATCATTCACCGGGACATCAACACGCAAAACATCCTTCTCGACGCCAACTGGGTACCGCATGTCTCGGGCTTTGGCTTGTCCTTGGTCTGTGACAAGGCGATGAGTGAGGAGTTCGAGATGACTTGCCCCGTTGTGGGCACAATTGGGTACATCGACCCAGAGTACATGACCAGAGGTCATGTGAAGCTGACGAGCGACGTGTATGCGCTGGGCATCATGATGCTGGAGGTTTTGACAGGTAGAAAGGTGATTCAGGAGGACGAACAGGGGGCTATATATTTGAAATCGTTCGCAGTCCCCGTCATTGAGGCCGGCAATATTAGGGGCTTGCTGGACACTCGACCCGTGCCGGAGCCAACGCCCGGGCAGCTCCGGGCGCTGGAACACGTTGCCCAGACTGCACGATGATGCTTGAAGGTGAAAGGGACGCACCGGCCGGCCATACCGGACATCGTGGCCAACCTCGAGACGACGCTCGAATTGTACTGCGGGGACGAGCCAAGCTCGGTTCACGAGTCAGCAGAACATGACAGCAACGTGCAATGCGCAGTCTTCCTGTCCCAGCCGGAGCCGGTAAACTACAAACTGATCAAACTCTGTTACATTAATGAATTCAATCGTGTTCATATATTGATGAAGATGGTACTTATTTTCTGGTCTCTTGCTTGCTTGATTAGGAGTCTTCGGAGATCACGTTGGCGGAGGATCCTCCAGGCAGTAGCGGCGACGAGAAATGCAAGTCTGATCCGGGCGGCAGCTGCTCCAACTCTATCGACGGCACGCAGCACCATAAGATTACTAACTCTATCTAGTTTCTATGTACTCCACACCCTCTGTTCCTAATTATAAGTCTTTTAGAGATTCCACTATACAGATCCTTTTAAAGTATATATATGATCGCTCATTTTGCTCCGTATGAAGTCTACAACGAAATCTCTAAAAGGACTTGTATTTATGAACAGAGGAAGTAATTAGTAATTGACCCTTAGTTATGTTCTCGTCTGGCCACCAAGAACTTTGCCCTTGACACCAGTCGTCAAAGACGTCTGTTGGGAAAAAAAAAAGAGAGGAACACGCATGGGTTGATGGGAACTTTGATGATCTCGTCTCAATCAAAACTGTGGAAGATCTTTAGCTTGCTAACCACATGTGCTGACGTTGGTATTAGAAATGTTATTAATTAGTGAGGGTGTTAAATGTGTTTAATGCTAAATATGTTTAATGCTAAACACGAAGCCCACCGTTGATAGATGTGGTTGAACGGGTGAGATATATTAGATCTCTACAACTCGCCTTTTTTATATGGTATCGATATAGATATAGATAAACATAAGCTAATATTCAGTGCGTTGCTTTGTCTGTGACGTAGCACATTGTCGAGAAAGATGGTAATTTTCTCGATTGAAACCAGCTGTAGCTCCCCCGCCAAAAAAAAAAAAACGGCTGTAGCTATTCACGTACGCATATAGGCACCATTCATTCATTTTGTCACCAGATCGATCATCAAAAGCCGTATGTATGTAGTACGTACTAATCAGCAACTCCGGACCACACTCTACTTTATTCTTAGATTTTTCTGATACGAAGTTCATTGGTACGCACGTAGACGTAGTACCGTACTATACTCCTGCGCTTCTTATTATTACATCCATCGCCTGCCTGAAATCCCCACTTCTTACATGGGTTTACGATAAGCTGGAGATGGATTCGATGGAGCTTAGCTTGACGATAAGCTGGTCTGGTAGGCCTGCCACCCTCGGGCACGGTACTCTCTCGCGGCGCCGGCAGGATCGCTCGCCTCTATGACCCCGCGCCCGACCACCATCACGTCGCCGCCTCGCTCGTTTACGACCTGCAAAGAGAATAAGGGATAATGAGCAGCAGGTTGCAGTGAGTCCAGGTGAGAGATCAGTGTCAGTCAGCACATAAGCAGCAAAGACTTCGCGGTGAGAAAACACAGCCAACTCCCTCTGAGAAATTACTGCTAAGGTATGTGTGAAGAAAACTGAGTGCTGGTCACACAAAACTGAAATGGCAAAGGTCAGACTCACCAAATGAGGGACGTCATACTGATGACCAGGAGAACCTCCTCCGGCAGCAACATCAACTCCCGGATCGGTAACTTGGACGAACGCTGGACTTGGCGCTGGAGCTGGCCAGGATGCAGGGTTTACCGACAAGAATCCGATAACGAAATCAGAATGTTGCTCGGCAAACTTCATGGCTGCCGCGGTGTAATCTCCATGAGCAAGGTTGCCAGGTGAGCTCATCTCAGCAACCAAGAGTAGCCCTTTTCCCTTTGGCAAACCCTTCAAGACAGCAATGCAACAGTCACTGCCTATGAGCACTAGTCCACTACCACAGTATATATCAGCAATTAGCAGCTGTAACATTGACAGTTCGACTTTTCAGCTCAGGATTAACTAGTTATAAAGAAAGTAATTAGCATAATATACCTTCAGCTCCAAGCCATCTATGATTCCAGGTCCAGGAATTACATGCGCAGTGACAATATCGGCCCAGTCTGATATGCGGAATGTTCCTCTGAATCAAAAGTAAGAACACTAGTTATATTATGTCGGTATATACAGAATAAACAAAGTCAGTAGGTGGATTATAATACTCTGCTCTCACCCTTCATATTGCATAGTTACCGTGTTCCCAACGTCAGCGAATTTGCGGTCTTCAAAGATCAGAAAGTTGTGCTCTTCAGCAATCTTCAGAAAACAATTTAAGAATCATCAAATAAAAAACAAGCAATATAAGAACCAAAACCAAGCAGCCAAAATCACATTTCAACAGTAGAAAACAAACAGATCTATAGGGAGCATAATACATTGCCTTGGTATAAACTTCTATTTTGGAATGTCCAAATGCGAAGAAGGCATTATTATGGGTGTACAGAACTGATGGAAGAAACACATTTTCAGACTCTAATAAATGCAGAAGTGAAACATGTTCCCCTGATAGAACTGTATGAACAAAGGCACTCTGTACTGAACCTACACCTGCTTTAGTTTTCTATACACCTGATAGGCATGATCCAGCACATGATTTATTTTCTCATTTCAGACTGATCCAACATCTGGTTACTGACAAACTAACTCCAAGTCAGTACTGGACTAGAATGGCATACCTACTACTCTACTTAACTATGTTACACCTACAGATGCCCCTTACGGAATTAATCTTACAGACTGATGTGGCAGAAACCAAGCTATGTAAAAACTAAGCAGCAAATACCACATTTCTGCAGTAGAAAACAGATCGCAAACAGAGTACATTGCCTTGGTATACAGGGCTATTTTGCCCAAATGCTAAGAAGGCATTATTGTGGGTGCACAGAATTAGATGGGAAAAGGCACACTTCCACATTTTGACAAGTGCAGAAGTGAAACATGCTTCCTGACAGAACAGATGAACAAAGATGCTCTCTACTCTTACACCTGGTTTATTTTTCTACACCTGATAAGCATGAACTTGATTTCTTTTCTTTTTTTGAAAATGATATAACATCTACTTACTGACAAACAAACTCTCAACTCAGTACTGGAGTAGTATGGCACTACTAGTCTATGACCAGACATAAAAATGTGAGGAAAATCATCAATAATAAGGATGGTTGAAAGAAAATAAAGGTTGCATCAGAAGCAGGGTGACCATACCAAACGGAGCTTGCCACCAAAATCTGGTGTAAAATCAGACAAGACATCCACATGGGTTTTCAGCATGCAAATCTCCGGACCAACCTACAATTGGAGAACAAAATCACCATTACATGTTAAGATTTGGGGCCTAGTAACAGAAATTTAACGAGCAGCTACATTGAAATTAATCAAACGGGCTTCGGAAGAATAGTGAAAAGGTCAAAGGTAATCCAGCTTAGTGAAGAAATGTACTCCCTCCGTCCGGAAAAGCTTGTCCCAAGCTTGTTCTTGAAATGGACGTATCTAACACTAACTTGGTGCTAGATACATCCATTTGAGGGACAAGTTTTTTTGGACGGAAGGAGTATGACTGAGATGACATTGTATTCAGCACCTGTACTGAACCCACACTGATTTTTTTCAGTGGTACTATTTATACTTGCAACATTAGATTCCTCAAAAGTATTTGCAACAGTACATGTGAAAGGTATACAATAAGTACAGTACAAAAATTCTGAATTTATTCAGTTCACAACCCCCAAATCTGTGTCTTCATGCATACAGATACAGGTACTGAATTACTGATGCAGTCAATTTCGTCTCGACACACTACATGTGTGCAGTCAATTTCATCTTGACACATTAGAGAATGCCTACTAGTTGAGGATGCAGAACATGAGGAGGAGGCGTGCTGGAGAAGGCTCCGCCGTCACGTCAGCGCCAACGTGGAACTGGTTGAGGATGGAGGGTGGGCTCCGCGGCGGCCCATTATCACATTGATGCCAAATTTATCATTTCTATCTCGAGTAGTGTTTCGAATTTTCGTTAATAAAGTGCATCGCCAACTCGATTTGAAGCCTGATGATCTTGTTTGTGTGTTCTTTTTCTGTTTGGGGATTTTGTTTTTCATTTCGTACGTGCACCAAGTATTACTAATAATCCTCATCCAAACTAAAAAATAAATGTGTCCAAAAAAACTAAAGAAAAAACAGCCGAGGCAAAATAGTGGTTTGCTATGTCATGTGAATTAATGTGGATCTCACGAACAATTATTAGTTAGTAAAAAAAAGTCAAAAAAGGCCCCTAACATCTCGCATCCAACACCCCATAAATAACACAATGTTGCACCCAAGACCATCACATCTTGCATTCAACACCCTTAAGGTTTTGTTTTCTTACAAACAAGAACAAAATTTCGACAAGTCGTGACGATTTCGGCTAGAAATTTCGGCAGCATAACGCGTCGCATGGATGAGAAAATGCAATCACAACAGCGCTAAATACACGGGTAGTGAAAAGCAACTCATGGATTAATCAACCGTACGTCATGCCTACTAGTTGGCTTGACCTATTCTTATTTGGAAACAGAAAGAAAATGATGCATTCTTTCATTAGGCAGGCAAAATCATCACAGAGACACCGAAAAGGATGGGATTTTCTTCAAACTAATTAAATAGATAGGCTTTCTGGATGCAAACTTTGAGGACAATTTTATGGCTCTCGGTGACATGACGATGCCATCACACCAAAATGGCACTCACCTCCTCTAGCAGTGGATGAACAATGGAGAGCAACATTTGTGTACATCAATTTACTTGTCCCAAAAAAATGTATTTGTTTTCCGGACTGCTATGCAGCCTGCAGTATGATACAAGACTGTAGTGAAATTCTAACTAGTGAAGTGAAGACCTACGAGCTGGTGTACCATTGCAAAGCCTA